CCCATTCCCACATGCCAGCCTGAGCGGTGGTGCTGCCGGAGCGGCTAAACCCCATTCCCACATGCCAGCCTGAGCGGTGGTGCTGCCGGAGCGGCGCCTCACGGCCCCTGCCGTGACGCTGATGCCCACACTGCTTTACAGCCGGACTGCGGCAGATGAGACGCTCCCCAGCTGGTGATTTGAAGCTCATCCTCCGGCCCCGTTCCCTCCGCAAGGGAGCCGGTTTTGCCACCAAGGCCCCTGGGCACCCTGGGTTCCGTGGTTCGGAAGCCCCCGTTCCAGCGTGCGCTCCTGACCCACGCTCACGGACCACAGGCCTGTCTCGGGTGCCCTTCTCCCACAGAGGGGTCCCGTGCTCGCGTTTCCACACACAATGCCAGCASTTTCTGTCACACACCCAGCTGCTCCTGCTGCATCTGCTGGCCGTGGGATTTCCCATTGGATGACTCCAGCAAAAGCCCAGGCACCAGGTGGAGCAGAGAACAGTGCTCAGTGATCCCCTCCCCTCTGAACAGGCACCGGAGAGGGAAGGCCAAGGTRAAACTTGCTCAGCTGAACCTGATCGGCATCTCATTTAGTCATCACTCTAATAGATACCCATTGGCGCTCACTAAAACTAGTACCGTGCCTTAATTTTAGCAGCTGACCCGTGCAGTGGGTCCCAATTAAAATGGTGGGTTTTTTTGAAGCCTTGTGTGTGCTGACTCGTGTGTAGTGTTGTGGGCTGCAAGGCATGACTCAAGACATTTGCCTGGTTTTTCCTCAGCTAGTTGGTTCTCTTTGCTTCTGAGCAAAAACCAAGCGAGTTAATGTGCTAAAGCTTTAGGAGTTAGCCTCTGAGTCTTYGTCCCATGAGTGGTTGATACATTTCACACTCATGTTCTTCTTTAAGTATCAGAGCAGAACTGAAACTTTACGGTTTCCTGTGTTATTATATATGTCAGTGCGCTGGGCGCATGCATACTTTCTCTGTTGGTATACTAAGTTGCTGAGAATTCAGAATTATGAATCAGCATTGCATCATMACATACTAAGTGTATTTGACTCACTACTGAATTAAGATTTACTGTAGAAGCAGCAAAATCCAAAGATATGTTGATTTGTTGCAGTAGTTACAGTATAGACTGTAGAAAACTGTCACTGCAGCTGTGTTGCAAAGTAGTTCATGTTTTCACCTAAGTAACAGGGGGAAAATGCCACCTTCAAATATACCACATAGAATTCAAACAGTTAAAAACCAAAATTTTGAAGATTCACTGTAGCATTTCACTCAATTTTTTTCACCGCTAGTTGCCTGTTCAATATTTATCTGYTCTTAAGTTGTATTTTCTATGCTGGTACTAGTGCTTCTGAATGTTAGATGTTCAGAGGTATATGATAAAAATGGAAAAAAGGTTTCTCTTAAAGCATGTATAAGGCCATACTAGTACTCTCCAGAACTCTGAAATAAATATTTTAGGCTGTGAGTTGGGTAGGGGAATGGGCCTGTAAGGGATAAAGCTCTCTTTCTGTTCCAGATGGATGCAAGTTGCMAGGAGATTGTTGACAGAAATGTAGGAAAAGATGGAGCAGTAACTAAGTTCTGCACGTGGGAGAAGAAAAATATTACACGTAAGACTTTATTTTCTCAGAGCATTTCAGTCCAAGTAATACTTTTCGTATCAGGAGGGACGTGCAATGAGTTGGAAGGACAATAAAGAAAAGATGGCCTGGTTCTGTGGCTCCTTGTAATACCTTTATTGACAGTGGATAAGCTGGCTGGTACTACCTGTTGTACTACTCAAGAGGAACACACTCTTCACACTCATTTTTTTCTCTCTCAGCAGAAATGTTGGGGTTAGGGGAGTGACTTCTCTGTGTTTGGAAATTTAAGTGTATGTTATCCATGTAGGAAATACTTGTATGGATCGGGGGGAGCACCAAGAGAGAAGAAATGTCATGTGGACTCTTACTAGCACCGAACAGATTTAAAAACAGCAGACGGGGTCTGTTTTATGTTATCTTGGAAAGGTTATGCATAGTGGTGATGCAGCTAAATATTTTTTGGAAGAAGATTAAGTGATATTTAAAGAGAAATATCTTTAAGAAAGACAGCAATTTAATATGTTCATGAAAATTCAGCTTTACATGGAAATGGGTTTTTTTCTGACCCTAAAGGGTCTGTATGTTCTTTTCCTAAGGAGTTTGAAGTTGTGACTATCAAACTGAAAGTTGACAGAAGTTAGACAAGCAATAGGGTTTGTACTAACTGAAAAGAAAGAAGTCTTTTTAAAGAATCTAGTAAATAATATATTAATGGTTTTGTGGTCGTCTTTTTTTTTTTTTTCTGATTGAATTATTCACATCTCTCTGGAAGAATTTGTAGGTCTCTGCAGACTGTTGTTAGAGGCAGACTGAATACGGTCTACTGAAAATCACACTGAATTCACTGTGGGTTTGCATGGGCAGTTTCAATACAGGGGAAAARGCAAAATCAGGAGGATCTGCAAAAGAAGACCATTATTTCCTGTTCCTTCCTCCTTAGGCATGAATAATTTGTTCCCATCTTCAATTGCTGCTGATTTGAAAACTGTTATCATTTCTCCCCTCAGTCTTCTTTCCTCTAGACTAAACAACCCCAACTCCTTCAATCTTTCCATATGGGTCAAATATTAGAGGAGGCGTCATCTGGCTATGTAGTTTTTAGTTGAAATATTACGTTTATCCTTAAATGTGTGTGGAAGTTAACGAATAAGCACATTTTGTCATTTCTCAAGAGTTTTTTAAATTGATCAAGTGATATGAGGATATTGTGACAAAAAAACTAAAATACATTTGAACTATCTTGTGTTTGTAATATGGTTCACAGGATGTTCTGCATTTTAGTTCTAGCAGAYGTGCATTATTTTGGTGCTTGGTTGTCTTTGGAAATAATCAACCTTTTAAAAGAATAATTTGCCACTGTTYGACATCCTTCAATTTAAGTAATAGTATCTTTAATGAGGTGTTTCATTGCTTCTGACGGCCTCTTTACAATTTAAAGTGGGTATGGGAGAGAGATATATTAAGCGTATAGCATCTGACAGGTTTTGATTTCTGGTAGTGCTAGCATTGGCAGTAATTCTAGCACTTCCTTTCAGCACTGTGGCATTTTAGTGAGCTGTGATTTATTGTGGTGATATAGGAATATTTCACATCCAAACTGCTCTACTATATAATGTTGTACAGGTAAAAAGAACTTGGGGCATGACATATGTAATAATAATGCTTTATAGTTCTGAAGGCACCTTCATCAACATTAACTGCTTGACAGCTGCCAGGGTAGAACTTGAAGTGCTGTGCTGTAGGGTTGCTGTACTAAGCTCTTATTTTTGTGTTCCCTCTCTGTTTATTTAATTTTGCAGCCTGAAAACACTAAAAGTGTCCTTACCTTATTGCCTTTACCAGGCATAATCTTGCCCCATATTAATTCACAGTGCCTTTTTTGTTGACAAAATATAATCATATGCTTAAAGACAAAGTTTACTCCTGTAATGACTAAGAAAAGGCATCACTTTATGTTATTTACGGTCTGTATTATAAGAATAAAAGCTATAAAATATGAAGACCATTGTGACTGTATATAATGCTAAGAAACCACAGTAAAAAATGAAAATAGCTGTGGGTACAAAAACTGTAAGTCATAATATATGGCCTTCATGAATAATGAAGAAAGAAGTTTATGGGGAGTTTTGTTTGTATTTTTTGTCTTTTCCTTTATGTGACTTCAGAAAGATGGAGTGTATCATACGTGCTGTCTCTTATATTAAATCACTTGTAAAATGGCTTAGACTCCTCCTGTCAGCTAGTGCACTTATGGGAAATAAATGTGTCCTATGCTCCGGATAAGTGTCTTCCTTTCGGTGAATAGTTCTTAAGCTTTTTAAATTTTGTATCCAAACACAATTTGAAGTGTCACCCTTTCCACTCTAATGGTCAAAGTATTTATTTAGGTGATACCAGCAATGTGTTTTAAAAATATTGCAGCTGGAGCCAGGAAGGATTTTGCTTTGAGCAAATTTGTTTACAGGATATCAGAGCTATCTGTACTTGCACATCGCCCAGTAGTGAGCATTTAGCACATAGTCATTCATTTGATTTCTGTCTTTCATATAGTCTGCAGTCATGTACATAAGCAGGGAAAAATCTGCAGCAGTGAAGACCGGCTATAGAGAAGTGTTCAGTCCTGTTTATTTTCGTGGCCAAAATAAGGCTAGAACTTTGTCATACCATCTGAAAATCTGGGTTTAGTTTCTCTGGTTGTTTCTTATAAAGATTCCAGTTCTATAGACATTTCTGCTGTCCTTTAATTGTGGTTTCACTTCTTTAGAACTACTCCATCTAAAGTTAATATGAAAGTGTTGGGAAATTGAGCTTTTATCAATAACTATAAGTTCCAGTAATCAATACTTTTAGTTTGATCATATGTAAA